CTGGTTCGCAGTCTACTCTGCACCTCCTTAGATGATGTTTGAGGAGGAAGGAACTAAAGGAGGAGCATGAACATTGTCTCGGATGACTGGTTCCCATATTTATCACATGTAAAGACCTGAATCGCGCTTGAGATTGTTTGGTTATAGATTCTCAGATTTTTCATCAGTAGAAGAATTGATTACATCAAACTCTTGACTTGAACCTTCGGCACTGCACTAACACACAATAACGTGTTTTACCACAAACCGAAACTTAATTTTACGTACTCGACGCGCGTTTCGTTATATATATATATATATATATATATATATATATATATATATATATATATATATATATATATATATATATATATATATATATATATATATATATATATATATATATACAGTGTGTCCAAGATAAGGATGCACAGCATGGGGATCTCGGAAACTATAAGAGATACAGTGTCGGTTAAATTAGACAAAAGTTGCGCATTTTGATACCGAACAAGATCCCGTTTTACAAATTTGAAAATTCCAAGCCGTTCCGGAAATATCCGAGAAAAACCGAAATATTGCGATTTCGTTTTTATTATTTTTTAAAGCTATTTGAAAAGATATGAAAAAACGGAAAACACTTTTCCATTGGCACTTTTTAATCTCTCCAAATTGACGTTAACAAATTTTCATTACAGCGTTTCGATTCCATGGAACCACCATCAACTTTGATTTTTCTTATGGGACGGAAAAAAAGTACACACAGTATTAGGTTGTGCTTTTCATTGCGAATTCAACGATGTACGATACAATACGGTGACTTATGTTTTTATCCAGAAAAATGGCTTTTTAATACATTTCTAGTATTTTATTGTAGTAGGCCATGAGATCCGAACGATGAAAGGCAAAAGAAAATGGTTGACAAGTTCGAGTTAATGTGTTTATTTATTTACTAACTCTAACTGTTCATTTAACATAACAACTAAATCCAACAAGTTAATGAAAAACAAATTCTATAACAAATGTTCGAATAAATGACCTCCATTTTCTAGGCATAAGTACGCCCGTCTCACGGTAGACTCCAAAACACGACTTAACATTTCAGGAGTAATTTTATTAAACGCTGCTCGTACTGATTGACGTAATTGTTCCTCGTTGTCAAAACATTCTTTGAATACCTCATTTTTTATGTAGCCCCATAAGAAAAAGTCCAAGGGAGTTAAGTTCGGGGACCTTGGAGGCCAAGGTGTTTCACTGTAAGTCCCAATGTATTTTCCATCAAACCGTTCAGTTAAATATTGGCGAACTTCTCTGGAGTTATGGGCTGGGGCACCATCTTGTTGGAACCAGCAGCCTTGCACAGCGCCTAGCGGTAAATCATCTAAGGCATCTTCTAAATCGTGCCTCAAGATGTCAAGGTACCGCTCGGAAGTTAAGGAATTATTATAGAAAATAGGGCCTATAATCTTGCTACCAAAAATCCCACACCAAATATTAAACCCAAAGCGAACTTGATGTCTGGATAGTCTATTAACACGTGGATTTTGTTGCGACCAATAGTGTGTATTGCGCCTGTTATAAATACCGTTATTGGTCACCATACTTTCATCAGACCAAATCACTTTATATGGAAAATTAAAACTCTCATCACACATCCTGGTATACCACTCACAAAAATGTCTACGTCGTTCGTCGTCACCCGGTTTTAATCCTTGACATATTCTGAATTTGTAAGGCTTAAATTCATTTTTCCTTAAAATAAACTGAGCTGTAGATTTAGCTACCCCATTCTGGTCTTCAATTTCTCTGGTAGAAGTTTTTGGATTTTCGATAACAGATTGTAGAACAATGTATTGGTTTTCTTCATTGGAAGGTTTTTGTCAGGATAATGCAGGCTTCTTAAATGATCCATATTCTTTCAGATTAAATAACAAACGCCGAAAAATACTCTTGTCAGGTTGTCTCCGCTCAGGGTATTTGTTAGAATACATACGCTCGGCTTCCACACAATTTCTTTGGCATCAGATGTAGCAAGACAGCATATCACATTTTTCTTCGTTTGTAAAATTACCTCCCTCTATTGTAGAACAAAATAAATTAGAAAAAGACAACAACAATAAAAATACAAAAACAATAACTAAAGGAATAAACTTATGATCGACTGATAACAAAGACAAATAACATTAATGTGTCATTGAAATTGACTGGATGTCATTTTGTCATGGCCTACTCCATTTAAATGCTGAAATGTATTAAAAATCCATTTTTCTGGATAAAAACATAAGTAACCATATTGTATCGTACATCGTTGAATTCGCAATGAAAAGCACAACCTAATACTGTGTGTACTTTTTTTCCGTCCCATAAGAAAAATCAAAGTTGATGGTGGTTCCATGGAATCGAAACGCTGTAATGAAAATTTGTTAACGTCAATTTGGAGAGATTAAAAAGTGCCAATGGAAAAGTGTTTTCCGTTTTTTCATATCTTTTCAAATAGCTTTAAAAAATAATAAAAACGAAATCGCAATATTTCGGTTTTTCTCGGATATTTCCGGAACGGCTTGGAATTTTCAAATTTGTAAAACGGGATCTTGTTCGGTATCAAAATGCGCAACTTTTGTCTAATTTAACCGACACTGTATCTCTTATAGTTTCCGAGATCCCCATGCTGTGCATTCTTATCTTGGACACACTGTATATATATATATATATATATATATATATATATATATATATATATATATATATATATATATATATATATATATATATATATATATATATATATGATGACACTATATTCTGGGATATCATCCGTTCGCTCGTTGAACTCCGACTGGAATCCTGCAGACGTTTCGCCAAAATCTCACTTGGCATCTTCAATGCTTGCGCTCCGAAAACACTTCGAACACTCGAAGTGTTCGAAGCGCGAGCATTGAAGATGCCAAGTGAGATTTTGGCGAAACGTCTGCAGGATTCCAGTCGGATGCAAGATTTGCAGGATTCCAGTCGGATGCAGGATTCCAGTCGGAGTTCAACGAGCGAACGGATGATATCCCGGAATATAGTGTCATCACATTTTTCCATCCGTGAATCAATACGTGAGAATATATATATATATATATATATATATATATATATATATATATATATATATATATATATATATATATATATATATATATATATATATATATATATATATATATATATATATATATATATATATATATATATATATATATATATATATATATATATATATATATATATATATATATATATATATATATATATATATATATTAAAATTAGTTAAACATGTAAGTAATAGTAGAAAATTAGATGCCTACGAAAGCTTAGAAATTGTTAAGAGAAGGAATAAGGCACTGAACAAGGACAGAGGTCCAATCCCATTTAGCCCATTATACGCGCTGATTGGTTGCTTGAACAGTGCGTAATTCCCTCTCCCACTTCCCGATGTGTATATATATATAGAGAGCATTTATTCTATTAAGTTTAGTTTTAATCTTCTCCTGAAAATGCCAACTTGGTTGGCGAAACGCGCGTCGAGTACGTAACATTGAGTTTCGGTTTGTGGTAAAACGCGTTATTGTGTGGAATTGATTACATGCTACAATTTCAGTTTTATGGAATTTTATGTCCGGTTTCGTGATTGTGTTCGGCAACTGCTGATGAGTTTGTTTTAGTCTTTTATGTTTTTTAAGCCTAGTTAGTAGTTTTTCCTTCGGTATCTCCAATGTATTCTTTGAAACATGTGCGTGGAGCGCTCTAAAATGTTTTGGACAAGTGGACTTGTTTTGACGTTACCTATGCTCAGTGTGTTTTGAATGTAAGCAAGGACAACAGTGGGAAGTGTGGGATTGCTTTCGGACTCATTGTTTTTGGAAGCTTGTGGTGAAGTGTATTTTGCTATGGAACGCTTAATATTTCTAATGTTGAAATTATTAGAGAGAAAAGCAGATGTAAGGTGTTTTAATTCTGGGTTCAATGACACAAGAGTAACAAACAAGAGAGTTGATAACCCATGATTCTTGGGCCGGATGTTGATGTGTCGATCTGTGTGCGTAGATTTTCTGTAAACAGAATGACCTAATGTTAAGTCTGATTTTCTATTGGTTAGAATATCTAAGAATGGAAGATTATTATTGTTAACCAACGAAAAATCTATAAGCAATTAGGCAAGTTTAATTTATAGAGTAAAAAGTGAGCCATTTTCAGTTAAGCTGAAGAAGCCAACAGGATGATTAGCGAAACGTAAGCAAGTTCGATTCAACAACAGGCGACGCAGGAGGAATCCAGAAGATTTATAAATAGTATTGCACTAGCCTGTGGAAGTTTCTTTGAAAATTTACTGATAATTATTTACAAAATTGATAGCAAAAAGGTTTTTGCAAAATTACACTCAAATTTACCTTGAGAAGAAAACGTTTTGACAACATTCTGAAACCTTGAAAATAAGTTCCAGTATTTTCTCTTAGTCGTTTTTTTTTTGCACGACTTAGTTTTGGAGATATAGCCAGTGTGTAACCCCATAATTTTTGAAGCCACCCTGTATTTCCTAAGTGCACATATTTTTGTGCAAATTCAGCAAGAAGAACGTTTTTAGTAAAGTTAATAATTAAAAATTTTCCATTTGGAATGTCCGAAGACATAAACTTCAAAACTCATAGAGTAAAAAATGAGACCCGGTATAATTCTTGACCGGAAATTCACGAAAATTCATTATAACTAAGTCTTGTGGTCTGACGAAAGCTATCTATCTTTTTAGCACCAAATCCTGAAACGGAATAAAATATAGGGCGCTGCAGTTAAAATTCCTGCCTCCAATTCCAATAACAAAGAATCGGGACACCCTGTATATAATACTACGGCGGTTAATCTCAAAATTGCCTTAAACACAAATAACTTTTGTTTTAAAAACTTCTTCATCGCTATTGCGGGTTGTGAGAAGCCATCTTATTTGAGACCACCTTGAATTTGTTTGAAATTTTAACATACCCTTAGGTATACTCGGAGCTATGAAAGGTACGCCCTTCTTCGACCAGTAAGTAAATGCGTGCTTGTAATATACGAAGATCGCCAGAGTTAGGATCGCGGCGATGACGGGAAGCTGCAGCAATATGGCGGCCAACATGGCGTTGTTTTAAAGTTGAGCCTGCAAGTGGTAAAAACGCAATATGTTCAGCACCTACGAAATGTTGTACAATTTTAATAATTATCCATTTAAGATGTTCCTGTATCTTATTTCAATAATTACGTCACTGAAGAAAAACAGTTAAATACAAAAAGTGTTTGACCCTAAATATATATTTTATTTATAGTACTTTTATGTATACAGGTTGTCTCGTTGTGCCAGGAGAGCAACCGGCTTAATTTTTTAAAGGAACACTCTGTATTTAGCACTTTGGGTTTGAGGTTTAATTATGTATCATTTCATACATATTACTTTTATTACAAAAGTTGATAATTTGTTGCCGGTTTTCTGCAACAACTCAATGCTTTATTTTAAACATCACTTAACCTATATAATGTCCTATCCTAAATATATTTTTTTAAAGATTAATTACTTAAATTCAGTATAAAATCAACAAGTAATGCAAGTAAATAGAACTTATTACGAATAAGAAATGATCGAACATTTAAACATTTTTAAGTCTTGAATCCCCATAAAAAAAGGCTAGGAGTTTCAAGTCAGTTCCTTAAATTTAATATGAAACCAACAAGTCGCGCAAGTAAATAAAACTTATTACTAATTACAAAATATTTTCTACATAATCCCTGGAAACATGTAGTATGATTTCAATTTTCGCAATAGCATTTCTAACCGCGTCTGTTGCATCAAATATTTCTACCCAATTCTCATTTTTAAGTCTTGAATACTATTAGACTTATTTTTATACCTTTCCATTTTTTATGCAGGCCCATAAAAAAAAGTCCAGGGGTGTAAAGTCAGGTCTCCTTGCTGGGCAATCCATGGCCCCGTCCCAATCCAAAATGGAAAAGGTTGATTTTAAACCATTTCTAACAGGCATGATATGGCGCCATATTTTGTTGGAAAACAATACCTTCATTAATATCGTCGGGTGGATCCCACACCACACTCCTCCGACCCTGTTTCCTTATTCTTTTTACATAATTTTCATTTGAGATACACCAGTAATAAATATTTTTTCTGATGAACATACCGGCCGTATTGAAAATGGCCTCATCGGTAAGTAGATTTTTTTTTTGAATGTCGCTTTCAAAATAGTGGTTAATTCCATAAGGGAACAATAAAAAAATCTTGTTTGAAGATTCTGTGTGGATGGTAGTTATTAAATTTTAAAGTCCTCACAACATTAGGCTCACTAATATCCGGTAGATCTCCGATACATCTCTTTACGAATGATAGTTGTTTTGTTCAATGAACTAGAGAACTTATTGAACTATTATTGACTACCACTCCACGTTCAAGATCGCGAACTATTCGTGAAATGTTTCTTATTATTTCTTATGAAACATTCATGAAGATCTAAACGCTCTTGGATCTAAATACTCTTAGTGACAACTAATGGTCAAATGTAAACTGTGTATCTCTGCCCAGGCAACAGTTTTATTAGTAAAAATAAAAGTGCTAAATACTGGGTATTCCATTTTTAAAGAATAAGTTTTTTAAATTAGGAAAAACAAGCCTTATTTTAAAGTCTCGTGGCTCCAGGAAAGAACATCCCGTCGTTAGGTGCTGTAGGGTTTTTGGTTTTAAGTGGTACAATCTGCAAAGATCACTTTCTATCTTTTGTTTTAGAATGAACCTACTGTAGTGCTTAGTTGCAATGACTTGATCCTGAATGGCACCAATAAATCCTTCAATCTCCTTCTGTCATATATATCGTAGGTAATTCCTAATCTGTATCAGTGCCATTAATAATGGCGGCATACCTGCTATGTAGCTGTTTTTGTTACCATTCTTCTACAATTTCTTGCAAGCAATTTCTGTTTTCTTTTTCATGTGCGGCGGTTCCTGCTAGGTGCTTGTTTTGGGTTTCTTAATCCTTTTCCACGATATAAAGCTTATTCATTGAAGAGTTTGGATGGTGGTAAGTGTTGTACGGACCAGCCTATCCAATCTCTCCAAATCACAGAACTGGAAGCACCCATGAGTTTATTTTTCAACCTTTGCACGTGTCGAGCTCTGTGTTAATATTATTTTCAGCCTTTTTAATAAAGCAGTTGCTGCTTTTTTTTACGACTGAACACTCGATATTAAATGCTTGACAAAACCCTAAGTATTTGAATTTTTCATTAACTGTCAAAGGCGAAAATATGGATAGGTCTGCTAAAACAATAATCTGGGAGTCTGCCATTTTTCCATAAAGGCACACTTTTCCACACCAAAGGACATTTTGACAGTATATTATTATGATTATTATTTCTTCCACAGGTTACTGTCTGGGCCAGGTTTTAACCAAGGTGTCCTTCATCTGGACAAAACTTTGCGGACAATCGTCAACATTCCAATATTTTGGATATAAATCTTGACCTTGAAACGTCCAACGGCTGGAGATGCTCAGGTAAGTTTTTATGTCCATTGCTGATATGACTGTGGGAAATATGTGGACTCTTTCCAGGTCCCACAGCTGGTTCAGCTCAAATGATAGCTTTGTCAGCGTAGGCTTTCTGGATGTTTTCATCTACTGGAATGGCAATGACGATAACGGTAAGTGAACCTTTTTCTTTATCTAGTACCATTATTTGGAACTGTGCGATCCGTCTGAATGCTCATATTCCAAATAAGTGTGTATTCTTTGTTTCTCTTTCTTGTAATATTCATTCCTCGTCTTGAGCAATGCAGTTTTTACAGTACTTTCTTGATGGGGGAAGCCTAGAGCATTTCCTCTCAGTCTTGTAATGTGAATGGAGATGAAAAACTGTTCTGTCTTTAAGTAGGCTTGCTTGCTTGCTTTAAGTAGGCTACCGAGACCTGTTTGCTCACTTCCGACATGTACACCTACACCTAGCATGTAAATCTATCTTTCAGCTTTATTTTTTATTGTTTTCAAAATTATATAGTACAGCTAACTAGAATAATCCGGTTCTCAGAAAATTCCCTGACTTTTACACATATTCTCTGATTTTCATGTGACATTTTCATTGCAATTTTGCAAAAAAGGTATTATTGAATAATTTGAAACGCGTTTCGTTGTTCTGTGTAATAATGCCATGCGTTTCTTCTGCGCCACGGATCATGATTTATACTTAAAACCAAGATGGCCTGGCATCTTTGACATATGACACATATCACCTTATCAGCTATCACTTAAATTTTTTATTCGAAATAGAAAGATGTGTTCAGGGCGCTAAAATATATATGGGAGTTCGCCGTTCTGTAACACAGATTTCGAATGAGACTTAAAATGATGTTGCTGTATGTGTATTGTGGATACTTTTACGGTGTATCTCAGTTATTTTTAAAGATAGAGAGTCGCGATTTTCGCGACACTATGCTACTTTTTTGTAAAGTTAAAGATGCCGTCTACAAAATTATCATAGCCCTCTTGGTGTTTGAGAAACAGGGTGAAAATCCAAAACTATCGATTTTGGGATCACCCTCGTATCTCCGATGTCTTATAAGTTATTGAAGGGTTGAAAAAATGTTGCTATGGGATTTTTTCCTTAAAGTAACGTGGAGTAGTTTAGTTGCTATAACCGTTTTTTAGTTATGAAGCAAACATATATATTTTTTTAAAGGAACACCTTATATATTATTTTTTATTTTGTTTCGAAAATTAAGGTCAAAATTCTTTTTTTTTTTCTTTTTTTACTCTATTGCCAGCAGTCAACTAAATTAACTAAAAATAAGATACATCTGAGCAGTTATTACTCTACAAAATACAATTTACTTATTTTCGAAAAAACAGAATGAAAATGTATTTTTTGAAAATAATTATGTTATATTAAAAACATAATAGCAAATGTGTCAACGGAGATACGAGGGTGCTACCAAAATCGATAATTTTGGATTTCACCCTGTATCTCAAAAACCGCGACGTTCTATCTCAAAAAATAACCGGGGGACCCCATAGAAAGTACCCAAAATTGGATTCTTTAATTTAAATGAAATTAGTTTTTATTATAACAATAGTTAAGATTAATTTATTGTTTTGTTATTAATTATAAGTATAATAATTAGTTAATAGTAAACTATGAAGTAATTGCAAAGACTTACGTGAGTGTACCAATTTTTATATGAATTCAAGTTAAACGATATTTATAAATGGGTAATCACAAAAAACACTTTCCTTGCAGATAAAAATTAATTGAATTGTTCTCAAAATGGAAAACTGAACTAAACTACTTACACTAAAAATTAAGCTGGGTGAGTCTCTAAGCGGCACTGACTCGAAAAGCTACTATCCCAAAACCTGCTCCACTTACGAGGAGTGCTATTAAAAACTCATCTTTATACATTTTTATCTCGGGCACTTTAAATTAATTCAACCGTTAGGATATCTCGCGTCCTTCGTACCCACGCGTATTTTTTAAAAGTACCCGCTTGCTCGATTACATTCAAATTTTGAAAATAACCCACGTGTTTACGAATTTCCGATTTCGCAACGACGCTCGTACCAAAAGTAACTTCAAATTTTCAGTTTCAAATAAATATTAATCGGTGTAAGTAATGCAATTCAAACTTTTGTTGAAATTTCAAATTTTGGAGAAAATTTTATGATCGGACTTTGTTTTTCCCTAAACAAGAGCTGAATAATAAAGGTCCCTGATTTTATATTACTATGTTCGCTATACGCATATATTTTAGTTTTAAACTCCACAGAGAAAAATATTTTTGGGTGGATTTAACGAAAAAAATTTCGCAACTATATGTTATTCGCGATAGCCGAAGTCGGCCATTACCCGAATTTTTGCCTACGATGCGTTGCGAACATGGAAATATGTCCATAAAGCGCCCATAATGAGTTACCAGTTGGAAATTGATGTTGGTTGATGAAATTACTCTTGATGCTAGTTGAGCTGGCAACAACGCACCACAAAATTTCAGTCTTGGAATGGTAATTTGTTTTAAGGGTGCAACGCGAGTTTTGGCAGTGTTAAGTTTAAGTTAAGTATTAAGTTGTGAAATTATAGAAAGAATTTATGGTTTAGTTACTTTGACATTGTGACGTAAATTCATAGCATATTAAAGATTGTCGTGTTTTAAATAGTAGTAATATATAATAATAGTAATCCAATGTTTTGTTTTGCTCTTCTCCGATATGAAGAATGTTGGATTCGGAATTTGATTGAATTGATGTGTCATTTGATGACCATTTTTGAACTGGAAAACCGTAATCACATAAGAGTTTGGATAGTTTATCCTTTATTTCTTGAACTTCTCCTTTGGCGTCGCCACCAGTTAGAAGACCATCTACATAAAAATCATGAAGGATTATGGAGCAAACTTTTGGTAAATCAATTTTATGGCGATGAACCACCTCGTGTAAGGATCTTATGGCGAGAAATGGGGCAGAAGTAGTACCGTAGGTTACAGTGTTAAGATTGTAAACAAGACACTCGTCATCGGGGTTAAAACGCCAAATAATTCTTTGTAGTTTGCGTTGATTGGGTGTTATGAGCACTTGTCTATACATCTCAGCAATGTCTAAACAATGTTGTGTCGTCTGAATCGCAGAAGGATGTTTAATAAATTGCCTTGTATGGTTGGACCTACTAACATTAGTTGAGTGATAACCTGATGAGGACTTTGAAGAACCATCAAATACACACTCCTTGAACACAGAATGATGAGGAAGAAAGAAAGCCGAACTCATGATATTTACATTCTACATTGAGAAATCGATTGATTGCTATTGCTCAAGAATCTCCAAGGCAATGCGGTGTTAAAAGGGTTTCAAATGTCACCAACACGTGTAATTGCGCTAAATACATAAAAATGAAACGAAATGTTCAAAATAAAATGTAAAGCAGTTGTCAAATAAAGGCACTTATGTCACAGGCTGTTTTCAAACCTGGTGCAGTGGTTTCTGGTCAACGTCGTATCTGCTCGGTCGGCGGTGCATCGCTGAAACGTTAGCGGAGCCGTGAAGTCGGTAGATGGAATAGAGAGAAAAGCGACTCGGTGTAGGGGCAATCGCTTTTGCAGGAGCGCAGTAATCCACAGGTTTTTCACTTTTAACGCTTGTTGGTGGCTCAAAATCAGGTTCGGAGGAACCAGAATGTTGTGCGGTAATCGAAGGAGCAGTAAAAGTTTTGAGAATTTTACGTTTTCATGAGTTTATTGCAAAAAAAACACATTGGCACTAACAATTACATATATTAAAAAATATATTTTATTTTTTCAAACTTTACCACCGCCCTGTATCTCAAAAGTTAAGACGTATAGGACATATGTACATATGAAGTATTCTTTTTAAAATGGAGCCAAAATTTCCATCTTTTTTTCGCATTTCGATCGCCAAGCGTCTGCTCTTATGGCTCCATCCTCCATGTTTTTAAAGCCACGAGGTTATCGTTATCGTTTACCGTTTCCGTTTGTTTACTGGGCAAAATTAGAACGTCCGTACCATATTACTTGCCTTGTTACTTTCAAAAATCGATGAAATCGAATTCTCGAAAGTATCTGTGCTAGTATAAAAATATTGTATATCGGTAACGGTAAGACCTGCGGGATGGCCGTTGGCACAGAAATCACCGTCGAAAAAAAATTTTTTTTTTCTGTTTGTCCGTTCTCCGTTCTCGTCTTTTGGTTTTTTCTGAATAACTTTCGAACCATTGCAGCTACAAAATAGAAATTTGACGCCTTTTTAAACCTCCACGAGGTACATAAGCTTATAAGAAATGGCTCTGATCCGACGCCGGTATCCATCTTTTTTTCGCGATTTTCGATTTTTTTTTGGACGATGAGTGTCCGAAATTTAAAGCAATCGACTTCATAGTTGGCACATAAATGCAGCTTTGCCCCGTAACGAAACCTATTGAAAATGGGGGGGCTGGGGAGTCGGGAAGTATTAAAAATCGCATGTGCGAGGGTCTACAAAAAAGATCATTTTTCAAAAACTATTTACAAGACCAAAAAAACCAGAATACGCAGAGGAAACGACTCCATAAATTTTTATTCTTGACAATTTTTCAAAAATATACAGGGTGCGCCGCAAATTCAAAAAAACTGAAAAATTAGTCCCCGTATTAGTGAAAATTGGCAATAATTTCAAATTTGTGTTTTAGATGTCAGTAGCCCAACCCCAATCCCCAACCCCAACCCCAAGTAGCTTAAACTTTTGTATTTACAGGATGTTCGCGATATTCCGTGCAGTATTAAAGAACAGTACCCAAATTTGCAGCTACGGACTACAGACTTGGGAGAGAAGTTGAAGTCTGGACTCTTATTTAGACTCTTTAAATTTAAATTTTTGAATTTTTTTTGGTGGTTATTTTGGTATCCAGAAAAACAGGTTTTCCTCCAAAGCCATTCATCCGATCGGAAAAATTTTACATCTGTAATACGTGGGAGACCCGGCGCTGTAACTTTTGTTTACGCATTTTTTCGATTATATACAAGGTGTTTTAGTTATAGACAAAAATCTAAAAGACCCTGAAAATTGTTCTTTTTGAGAGTAAATTATTAACCGTAAATCAAAATTCGTCCAAACAATAGCTAATCCGTTCCAACAAGTAGGCCGTATCAAGGGCTCCAATTTTTGTATTTACGGTTTTCGTCTATCACATACGCTGCTCGAGATATTTGAAATAATCCAAATGAAAATCACTATTTCTCACCCTCAATCTAGACGCGATGACGTCGTTTAATATTACCACGTATTGCATGGTTTCAGAATACAAGTAATTTCTTGAAAACCAATAACTCCATTGGAAAAATTCGGATATTAGGAAACTAAGGAGATCCAGGGCTATATCCTCTATTTCGAACATTGTTGGAATTATATACAGGGTACGTCGTTTGTGGGCAAAAAATTGTAATAGATCATGGAAATTTCCGCTTTTGTGGGTGAATTCTTGGCGATAAATGAAAAACTTTTAAAGATGTGATAATTTGATAGTGTGTCGAGAGAGAGTTTAAGGTTTCGTCTATAATACAGGGGGCGCAAGATATTTGAAAAAATATAATTTTAAATTGCAATTACCTGTACAAATTTTAACATTTACCGTAGTTTGCCGTAACTTTGAAGTTCGACGAGATGTGAAGGACACTTTATACAGTGTGCATTCACAATAAAATGACATCGATTTTATGAAAATTCCATAGCGGTCCGCAGGATCACGATAGAAAAACAATGCGTCGCTCCTCTGGGACAAGAATCCCCGAAGCACCTTCGTTTTAAAATAAAAAGGTGAGTCGCGCTATTTGCTACTAACTTACCCCGCTCACCGACGATTTTTTGCAAGCAATCTTGCCTTCTAATTTCATTATTTTTCTTGCGTTCAGTCCTTGATATTCGAAAAGCCCTTCTCAGATAATCCAATTGAACTGCGTCTATTTTTTTCTTTGTTTTCTGTGTCGTTTGTCACCTCCGACCCCGAACCATAAGTTAGGACGGGTTCTACTATTATAGGATAAATAGGGATTTTTCTTGTTGAGAGTTGGTTAGACCATAGTAAGGAGAATCTGCACATTTTTGTGACCTTGTTTTCTGTAACAGTCTGATCTCCAGATCCGGGTCTTCGTCTTTATCGCCTATTCGCATACCGGGTTTTTTAAATTCGAATCTCACTATTAGGATATCGGTAACGGTAAGAGACACAGGGTTACTTAAATTAGGGCAAAGTTGCCCATCGGTGAGTTCAATAATATTCCGTTTTGAAATTGAAGTTATTGTTACTTCCGGAAGTATGGCGGAAAATCTGAAACTTTCGGTGTTGGTTTCATTTTTTTATATCTATATTTTAAAACTCTATCTGTAAATACATTACAACTTTTTAGTCTTCCTCTTATGGCCAGGTCAAAAATTCCTTACGACGTTTCGTTTTCCTCAAATCATCATAACTTTATTTTTTCTTATGGTCGCCATATTGTATTTTTGCAGTGTTGAATAGCCCGTATTATTGCCTTTTTATTGATGTATCACAAGTTGTATTTGTGTTCCCTCAAATTCTAAATATTTAACAAAAACTTTTATACAATAGTAAGCTACGAATTTTCATATCTGTCGACGACATTTTAATATCTTGGACTTCACCAATGAAGAAAAACGACACATTGTAAAACTTTATTATGAGAACCATATAAATGGTATCGAGACATCGAAATAGTATATTATGCAACAAGTGCGGTAAACGGTATTTGACTCAAGAGTTTATTTGACACGAGCGGAGCGCAGCGGATCGAGTTTTTAATAAATGAGTCGCTTAAAAAGTTTACCGAACGTGTTGCATGCTATACTTTTTCTACAACCGTTAGTTTTTGGTTACATTTTCGCAAAACAACACAAATACATCCACTGACATGACCGTCAGAACAAACAAACGTCAAAATTCAAAGCGTGGGAAATATCTCGGAAAACATTGTTTTAATTATTGGATAGAAATCGCTCTGAGTTTACTTCGTTTGTAAAACTAAATTAAGATTATGAATGTACAATTAATGAGAAGCTTCAGGGTATTTTAAAAAAGTTAACAATAATAATAGCTATATGTAAAGATAATAAATAAATTACAAAACGATGATCAATATTTCGAATTTGAGGGAACAGAAATACAACTTGTGAAACGCCAATAAAAAGAAAATAATATGGGCTCTTCAGTATTGTAACAAGTTCCAATAATAATGAATTTCCAGATTTTCCTTAAGTTTTAAATTAAAGACATAAAAAAATAAAGTCGAAAACGCGAAATTTCAGATTTTTCGCCATATTTCCGAAAGTAACAAAAATAACTTCAATTTCAAAACGGAACATTATTGAAATCATCGATGCGCAACTTTTCCCTAATTTAATTTACACACAGTTACCGAGATCCTAATGGTGAGAGTCAAATTCGAAATATCCGGTATATTTTTTTTTTGTAATGTTCATATTCATACGCCATTTCGCTGGATGTGAAGACTCTTGAAAATCCAATTGACCAACGGAATCCGTTCAATGAACCGCGAATCCGGTAGAATAGTCAAGAAATTCTGGTTTCTGTCCAAAAATCCGATCGAATGAACCAAAAACTGTATAGAAACCCTATACACCTTCGTAAGGACTGTATCCTGCTCTGGTACCTTTCTGTCTGTCGATCAGTTCGGTACTGGAGCGCTGGGCTGCATCCCCTCGTCTGCACAAACTGTCTGGCACGCATATCAGATTTCTTGAGCCTGTCAAATAGAAGCTTCAGGTTACTGTATCGTAACCCTTCTCGAGATCAATAAAAATCACATGCTTTAGCATGTTTCTAGTTGTTCGTTTTCCTAGTATTTGCCGGAGAGTGAAGATATTGTCTGCACAGAACTTCCCAGCTCGAAAACCTCAATATCACGGCGACGTAAAAAAAAAGCATTTTTCGAATAAAATCGTCGTATAATCGTCAACAAAAGAAATAAAACAATCATTCGCGACCCGCGTTTTCCGCCCTCGGCTTCAGCGTCAGCAGGTCTGAGTCTATGGAGATGTCGTCGTCGTGGGCCACTGGCGACATCCCCATCGCATACCCGGTGCAGTCGTCCACCTCGGACAGCAAAATGTGGTCGGGAGAATCGATCAGGTTGGCCCGCATAGACCCGGTGATCCTGTCCGCTATGGAGATAGTGTCGTTGAGACGGTCTTGGAGGTCGCTGCAAGTCGACACCGTTAAGCGCTTCGCGCGACGCATTATGAAAAAATGCGATGTATACCGTCGGACGTTAATAGGTTAATAACGTGCTGTTGAGGAAACTAAAAAAATTCTATCACTTCTGAAGATGGTTATATATTGTTTGAGGGTGGCGGAGCTAAAGGAGGAGCATGAGTGATTGCCATATTGGTGAAAGATTATGAGCTGAGTAGCGGTTAAAATTGTTTAGTTGCTGGATTCTCGAAAGAATTTTACTTTTATCGAGTACGATTTGATATCAGGTTTCATAGTTCTGTTCCGCAACTGCGGTCTTAAGGCTTTTTCATGTTCTTTGAGCCTGGCCTCTCCAATGTATTCTTTACAGCATATGTAAACCCCTGCAAACGGATCGAAGACATTGAGAAATTTTTCGACAAGTGGTAAATCTGATTTGACTTTATATTAAAAACTTTTGATATGTGGTCAGTGATGTTTTGAATGCACGGAAGGACAACAGTGGCAAGTGCGAGGTTGCTTTCGGACTTATAAGACTTGAAATGTTGTGATGAAGTGCATTTTGTGATGGAACGCTTAATATCTCTAATGTGGAAGTTATTAGAGAGAAGAGCAGAGGTAAGGGCTTTTATTTCTGGGTACAGTAACTCGAGCCGAGATAGTTTTACGGCTCTGTAAAGAAGAGAGTTGATAACCGATGATTTTTGAGCTGGATGATTATATGACCATGTTTTAAGGTATCGGTTCGTGTGCGTAGGTTTTCTGTAAACAGAATGACCCAATGTTGGCAAAGAAAATCACAATAACGAAACCGGACAACAAACCTTATTCGATAAAACTAAAATTCTTGCATTCTACCAACATAAAATTCCAGAATATATAGAAATCTATAGACAAACAATCTTAACCGCGACTCAGGTCTTTACCTGCCTACAATATGGGAATCAGTCATCCGAGACAATGTTTATGCCCTCCTTTAGCTCCTCTTCCCTCATTACCATATAAGCAAGTATGGTCTGTTCTTAGATATAAGAAAGTGACCAATTGCTTTTGAATGGGATTATCCAAGAGTGGTCATTAACATTCAATGCAACAAGAGTATTACCTAAAGTTTCGGAATTTAAATTCAGGTAAAATTGTGGTGCGTAATAGAAAATAATTTTATACCCACCTGTGTTTAATATTCTTTGGTTTGGTATACTACTTAGTTTAAGTTTATTAGTAATCATTCTTATTTCGTGTGTAATACATAGTGTTTTGAATCGTGTGCGAATTATGCAAAATATGTGCGAGTCTAGTGTATCTCAGGAGATGCTCCCGCCCAAATGTAGAAAATACTATTCTATTGAGACTAAAGAAGTTATAAACAATGTTTATTTGACTCTCATTATACGTGCAATGCAGCAAGCAAGCATCCTTAGAAGAAACTGCCACATTGACGAAAATTCCAACATCAACTGTATGGAAAATTGTGAATAATCCCATTTCAGCGATGAAAAAAAGAAGCGATGCTGACATTTTCTCGAGTGTAGATGAAAGTGATCAAGATATAATAAGGAGTAACATTTACCAGTTATACAAGGAGCAAAGCGTGCCTACATTATATATCTTAATTAGGAGGCTTGAAAAAGATGAAACCGGTGTTAAATGTGGCAGAACTACCTTATGGAAATGTATTCAACACATCGGTTTTCGATTTAAAAAAAATTACAAAAGGCAAGTTTTAATGGAATCCTTTAGAATTCGGAAATGGAGACTAGAATATCTAGAAAAAATGATGATTTACAGAGAACAACAAAGGTCAATTATTTACTTGGATGAGACCTGGTTCGACACTTATGATACCAGGAAAAAGGGTTGGGTTGACTCAACTGATAAGTGTAAAACAAAAGCGCCATCAAAAAGAGGTAAAAGAATAACTATTTTGGATGGTTGGATTCCAAATGGACTTTCTCTGCCTGCGAAAAAATTAAAGATTCTTCTCTGGATTATACCAAAAAGCAATTAATTGAAGTTCTACAAAGCTTGAACCTACAAAAGGAATACATCTGTGATAATTATGCAAAAAATCTAGGGCATACAGTTTTAAGGCTTCCACCTTACCACTGTATATTTAATCCCATTGAACATGTTTAGCACCAACTGAAATCTGCCATTCGTCGTAACAATGTTTTTCCCCGTGTTAACTCCAATGCCATCAAACTTATAGAAACCGAAGTTTTTAACATCCCTGCACAAAGTTGGACAAATTCTGTTAAACATATAGGAAAAGCAGAACAATCTTATATCCATGTTGCAAATAATATAGAACAAATAATAATTTGAACAGGCGATGATAGCGATAGTGATACTGACATATTATGTCAATAATTTTAAGTAATTTTAGTAGATAATAAAAATAATTTGTAATTTTATTTTAGATTTAAACATAAATACATACATAAATAAATAAATATTGTTTAGTATCTTTTCTAACAAAACCCCAAATAATTAATTTCTAAGCAAAGTATGGACCTGTTCGGCCATATTTCATTCTTACAGCTTGCACGAGTCTTTCCTTAATTCGTATCAGTTATTCACTTTCTTATATCTATGAACAGACTTTACAGAGTAGAATACGAAGCAGTTTTAATTAGGCTCTGAAGAACCCAACAGGATGAAAGGCGAAACGTCAGCAGGTTCAAATCAACAACAAACGACGCAGAATGAATCCAGAAATTTTGTAAATATTTTTTGTTATATATTTAGAAGAACGCTCATAAATGTTTAGCGTTGGCACCTTGGTTATGAGTAGAGATACAAAGTCGGAAGGAATTAATTTTTTTTAATAATAATTGAAAAAGTCGAAATTGGTGTTATTAGTATTGTTTAGAACACTCAAATAAAACAATAAAAAGAAAATGGAGTTGTATTCTGCAATCACTAATAGTCATTTAGTCTACAAGAGAAATGTTTTAATTTTAGTAATCGTAATCAGTGACAAAAAACTACTAGTTTGCTAATTTAACCTACTTTGTATCTATACTCATAGGAATGTTATCAATGATGAACACTTCACTTGGATCAGCCGGTATATATAGTAATTCTGGAATTATTATACTAAATAAAAATAACAAATTGTCAACTTAAACAAATACTTTTACTATGAATAATTCAGAGAAACACGAATATTCCATAGCAATTATAGGCATTCAAATGCTTTCTAAGAAAATTCATATCATTGTATTAAAAAAAAAATCAGAAAATTATTTGTTTGCCATTATTTAGTCGCAATCAACTCACTCATAGCGTGTCTGATAGCCTAGGAAATGCTTTTTTTGCAGTTATTGACATTTATTTGCGGAAATGTTGGAGCGCCCCCACCACTTTCTTTTCAGAGTAAAAAGCATCTATCCAAAAAGTTTTGAATTTATCTCAGCGTTAAAACAGTGTTTACTCTATGTATCATTAATATAAGAAAATGTTGCAGAAAACGGCTGATAGTTAAATAATTTTTTTTTCTTCACATTTTTAGGAACATCCGTTTTCCCAATACCGTAAATCGTTCCTCTTACTGGGAAACCAGGTCAAGCAAAGATTTGCGAAGAACTGTTTTCGAACGAAATGAAGCAACTATTTCCAAATGTGATTTTTCGCCCAATGCCCAACGTTTAACGCGGAGGCGTTCCACCGTGCGGCACACATACGGCAAAATAGGTACTTTGCAGCAACAAAAACATATTCATTGATTTTATTTTATATAAATAAACTGAGAGTTTACGTGCAAACCATATTTCCGTACAAAACTAACCTATACATTTTTAGCATAGATATCATGAATTTAAAAAGGCTGGTTTAAAGGTAAAAATAGATTTAGGAATAAAATTTAGAGTTTAAGATTTTTAAGAAATATTTTTATTCGTATTATCTTATCTAATTACAAAACATTTTTTTGGTCATTTTTAACACAATAACAAGGACAACAATAAAACAAAAGTTACTTTTCTTCATCCAGAGTGTCAGAATCAGATTCTGCAGATTGTCCCATAAGAAGTAATTAGCGGGTCAGATGAAACAAGCAGCCAGTGTACGACGTCCGTATTGGTTTTAATTTTTTTGCCATGAAAAAGTCGTAAGGTTTTGTAACTCATGACTGGCCTCTAACACATCTTTAGATAATTGCCCAATAGGCAGAGGGAAGGACTAGATAATATCATTTCTCTGGAGCAACAGCTTATGCAAAATATTTACAAATCTAGAAATTAAATCTCGATTTATATCGATATTGCCGATACTAACGTTGGATTATCAAAAAAAAATAAAAAAATACGGGTCGTGTTACCATCGTTCCTATCGCCTTCCCCATATTTTGGTAGGTCTATAACCACTTCTGTGTAAAATTTAGATTTTTTCCTATTTTTTCTTTTGTCTCTTAGCTTCTTGCCTGTCATACTTTGTTGTCCACTTCAGAAGAAATATGAAGCATGTATTCGTAGCATCAAAGATATGCATGTAACGCAGGCATTCCAAATTTATATGTAGATGAGTCACATACTGCAGCTGTACTTATCATTTTTTTTGTCATTGTGGTCTTTGGGGTGGTCTTGCATACGTTACACGCTTGGCGTGGCACATTACATGTTTTTCTAATAATCATGGTGCAGACCATCGGGAAGTACTCCCCTTTCGTGTCTCCTTTGGTTCTTTTTTTAATTTAAAACCTATATCACGACAATATCTAGTTGAAGATGAACTCAAGTTCTTCCAAAAAATTTGTTTTTATCTCTGGATTGAATTAATATTTCCAGAGGTAAAATTGTACACAATATAATGTTAGCATCGCCAATATTTGGCAAAGTTTCGCTTGAAAATGCTGTGGCCACCTCGACCGTCAAGACCACATTTATAAAATATATTTATGTTTATGACTTTATCTGGAACATTCTGCAACAATACTTTCGAGTGAATATGGGCTAGCTCTCTCCGTAATAAACATACCTGGTGGATAACTTTTTTTTTGCTTCAGCGATAGTAGAGTATGAAGGCTAAATAATACCCCCCTTTCTTTTTGCTCCTCTTTGAAGTGTTATATTTTTTATATTTATTTCTACCATCAGACCGAGATCTTCTTCCGTGGTATAAACATCCATAGTAGAGGTTAAAGATGAAGCATTTTCTTAAGTCTCTTTGGTGTTGATGATATTGCAAGATTTACCACTTTTGCTGTAGTTTTTTCACCACTTTTTATTAAACTGTATTCTACTGCACGCTCAAATTTCTCAGAACACAATGCTGCAACAATAGCTCTGCTGGGACATCTTGCATTTTTCACTAAATAACTTTTTTGGTCCTCGCTGTATCGATGTCGTTGGAGTACAGACAGCGTATTGATTTAAAATGGTTACCTCTACTTCTATTCAAAAATAATTACTCTTCATATATCTTTTTTGATGACTTTTTTCCATTTTATTGAAAGTTTAGACACAAACACTTTTATCACATCTTTTAGCCGCTTCTCTGATATTTTTGGAAGTTTATATACACTTAATATAACTGACTAAATGTTTATTGCACTGCGATGATGATTGTTTATAAAAATTAACACCGTTTTATACTATGAATAGTTCTTTCCTGCTTAGATTAATATTTTTCAAATTGGGGCATTTCCAGTACCTGCAAACAAATGCAGATATAATAAAACGGGATGATTTAGGATAGCTAGATTTTATTTTATTTCTTATCCAGAAATAGAGCAATAACACAAACTAGAAAAAAAAGGTGGTACTAAACGTAACTTTTTTTTAATTCTTACTTGAAATGACGTTTTTACAAAATTTTTAAGAAAATTAATTTGCTAGCCTAGCAATAAAAAAAAGATTAAACAAATTATTACATACTCGTTTTTAATTGCATATGAATTTAGGACTTCCAAAAGGTGCGCTTTTTTGTAACTGAATCCAAAATAAATATCATTTTCTAACAAATACTCCTGGATTTCAGTTTTTCAATTTGATGAGGCTGGGGCTTTGCGTAGCAAACAGCTCGGGTAGCTCGCGTCATCCATGACAACAACACTGTCATTCGAAATATTTTTTAAAAGATTGTTTTGAGACCAATTTTCAAAAAGTTCGGTGCTTGTATTCTCGTGATAATCCAAGCCTTAATATGCTTTGCAGACAACAGCAATCAGTTTGGGACATTTTTGATTGGAATCAACCCATCCCTTGTGTAGTGTAGTATGTATCGAACCACGTTTCATCAAGGTAAATTATAGATCTGTTATCTAATCTATATCTTTTAATTTCTTGAAGGTAATTAAATCTCCAAGTGTCTATTCTGTGCAATTCCATCACTATTTGCCTTTTATCTATTTTGCGGTATGTAAATCCTATTTTACAAACAACTTTATGGAGGGTGGCACGGCTTATTCAATTCAATTATGCGTTTCACAAAAAAATTTTGGGCTCGACTGCTAGGATCATTCGCCCATTGCCGACTTCCGTCGAGGATTTTCGCTTCTGGTCAATGACCACCACGTACAAAGAAGAAAAATAACCAATAATTTGCTCAGCTAGCAAAAAACGATTCTGACCGATAGCAAAAAAATCGGCTTCCCCCCGCTCCCTCCGCTGGCCATCCGGGCCCATCGGGCCTCCATACCGGCGTGTCACTAGTCACACTAAGTCCACACAGTGGAAACCGATATCAAACTTTTGAGGACGAATACAAGGGATTCTGTCGGGAGCGAACGGAGGTTAAACCGCCGCGTGCAATGCTCCACCACAGAATCCGGCACGGCTTATATTTATAAAAGACATTATTAGGTTCTGATCTCTATTGTCTATATGGTGAGTTTGAAAACCACTACGTTTATTCCTTTTTATCAATTCTCCACTATTAATAATATCCCTTATCGACGAAATTGTCGTTTTTGAAGATAGGCTTATTTTAAAGCTTCTTGTTAAATAAGTCTACTAATTGAAGTTCCTTACACATTTTTGACAACCTGTTTTGCATTAAGTGACAAATGATTTCTTCTTCTTGTAAAATAATTTGTTCGAAACGAACAGCAAAAACGATTATTCAACACTGCCACAAATGGCCAACACTCAAGAAATATATCAGAAAGAAAGAAATATACCTGCCCTGCCTTGTCACTCAATTAAGAACGTTTTTTTGTTAATGACTTTACCCTATAACAATAACATCGTTAAAGTTTTATTGGGGAACTTTTTTTTTAATTCAACCTTACAATAACGTTTTTACAAAATTTTTAAGAAAATAGATGTATTTGAAATTTTCTAGTTTAACAATATAAAAAAAGGATTACGCAAATTATTAATTAATTATTTTTTTAATTAATTAACTAATTATTAAGTAGTAATAGATACCTGTAGCTTTAAGATTCATCTAAGAAAACTGCGTAAAATACTTTAAATTCGATACAAAGACGAACTGTAACTGTGAAATACTTCGGCATAACTGAGTTAGCGTGACAGTTGCGCGAGAGGCGTTTATTTGCAAAGAGGCCTGCGATTTTATTAAACATAATTCGGACGAAATATAAACGGATATTAGTGCTTTGTTTTTTATCGAAAAATGTAGTTTTGTCGCTCTAAAGAAGCCATTTTGCGGTATGTGCGGAGGCGTGATCCTTTCTTACTTTATATTTTGGACGTCCGCTGCGTGGGGCTCGACGGAGGCGGCGTCTGGCGAGCACCCGGGGAACGAAATCGGTGGCATCATGTTCGGCCATTCGAGGCCGAGGAAGAGACCGTTCGAATTCACGGAATCGGAAAAATTCAACAGCGGCGCTTCCATCGGGGAACTGCAACCTAGAGTTCCGCGCGAAAGTAGTTACGAAGAAGAAGAATTACAGTCTCTTACAGTGTATTTGTTTATATTTTTTGCACCAAACCTACAACCAAATCTTGAAGAGTTAGAAAAATACTGTAAATACAAAAGATCTAAAGTGTTATAAGAAGTGTTAAGTCACCTTTTAAGCTGTAATTTTTTAATATTTCACAAGTAGAAATTACGCCATTAATAAGGAGGGTGGGGCAAGGCATACAGGTTGCCCCACAGTGTCCTCCCCGACATCAACTTTGATATTTTAAATGTAACAGCCTATATATTTCGATATTTTTGGAATCCTTGGTTAAAATAAAGGTCATTTTCTTAAGAAATTCCTATTCAAATTTTGCATAGTTTAGACGGAAATTGAGCTTATGTATTCTTTTTTCATATTTTGATTGCCTCATATAAAAATTAAACCATATAATAAGGAGTTTGACAGATGCGCCTCAGCTTATATAGGTTTCCAATAGGGTCGAACGGTTCACGGTTGGCTTAACCCTTTTGGGATGCGAAATGGTAAAAAAAGCGAACACGATAGGCAACGACCCACTGTGAAGACTTACCGCAGGCTATCGTGTCGTCGGTTCCGGACGGGACCCCGTTTATTGCACTCGCGCTTGAAACTCGCGGACTTGCGCAATCGGCTCTCTGTTTCTGGCGTCGGACCATGCGGAAGTGTCTTTTCGAATCCTCCTTTTCCTGTGCGGTTGCACACAAGCCGTCACATGGGTTACGCGGGTTTGAGAAACTGGGCGAACGCGCAAATTTAAATTAGCGATCCCAAAAGGTCTCTAACCCGACTTTTGAAAATAGAAACAATGGATTCTGAACATTCCCCCCACTATAAAAATACTAATTTTTATACAAAATGTTTTATAAAAAAAAAAACTAAATGTAACAAATAAGAAGAAACTAAACGAAATTCTCTTTGCACGGTTTTGCAGCAAACACTCCTGTATCCCTAGCGGAGCGGAACAAGTGACAATTGGTTCGATGCAATCAATTGTCTCTTTTGAAAACAAGTATGTAGGACGAAACACGGTTGGGAAGTTGGCTAGTTGACTGGTAAAGGGCACACTTTGACCAGTGGTCTGTCGAGCAGGCCCTTTGCGGTTTTGACTTAGACTATTCGCGGTATTTTATCAGGACTTGGGTAAATTTGGACTACTCGACCGAGGGTCCATCTCAATGGGGGCAAGTTTTCGTCTCTCAGAACCACTAACGTGCCAACCTTTGGGGGGTTATGGGGGGTGTTCCACTTCTCCCTCTGTTGTAGCGAGTGCAGGTATTCTACGTGCCAGCGGCGCCAAAAATGCTGATGCATTTGTTGCACTAGTTGCCAACCGGTGAGGCGGTTAATTTTTTGGTCTGTGAGGCTTTGGTCGGATGGGGCTGTCAAGGGTTCAAGAGTAAGGAAATGGCCTGGCGTTAGAGGTAGAAGTTCGTTAGGGTCTGGACTGATACAACAGAAAAGTCGCGAGTTAAGAATCGCCTCCTACGGAGGTGGCTTTTGGTGGATTTCACCCCAGATTCATGGAGACCGCCAAAGTGTGACCCAGCTGGGGGGTTGAAATACCATTTGATGGCGAGTAGTTCCGCTGCCTGGCGGCAGTAGGAAGAGAGAAGTTTGTTAGCGCCGGTTAAGTTTGTTCCCTGGTCGCTGTAGATGGAAGAGCACCGACCTCTTCGGCCTACGAATCTACGAAGGGCCGCTAGAAAAGCTTCGACAGATAGGTCAGATACGGCTTCTAAGTGGATCGCCTTGGTGGGGAAACAAACGAAGATACATGCGTGTGCTTTCTGGCTTTTAGCGCCTCTGCGCTTCGCCAAGGTAATTTGAAAAGGTCCCATGAAGTCCACACTGACGTGAGAAAAAGGTTTGAGCTGCGAGACCCTGGCCTTGGGCAGGTCGCCCATGTATGGACTGTAAGGTTTGGGGTTGGTTCTGGCACAAATGACGCAATGTGCTATCACACTGCGAATGGCACGCTTAACGGACAATATCCAGAACTGCTGGGCTAGCAAATGTTCTAGTAGGCGAGGACCTGGGTGTCCGTGAGTTTTATGGAATTTCTCTATTATTAATGTGGTGATTCTATGATCTCGGGGTAACAATATAGGATGCTTAACTTCGTACTCAAGGTCCGTGTGACGCAACCTTCCCCCCACTCTGAGAACGCCCAGAGTATCTAAGAATGGGCCCAGTTTACGAGGGGGTTTGTAGTAGTAGTTGACAAACGCTAATCGGTTCTCTTCTGTAGGGGTATCGATTTCGTCTGGAGCCAAGTTGTTAAAAACGGGCCACAGCTCTGAGGGAGACGATAACCAGGGTGGACCTTTGAATTACAAGGGATGATCAATGAATTGGTTGGGAAGCAAAGGTCTGGACAAACAATGGGCAGGATTTTCAAAACCATTAATGTGGTACCAACAATCTGGTGGTATTTTTTCTTGAATAGTTGTAACACGATTGGCTATGAATACCTTTCTCTTGGAAGAACACGAAGAAGGTATACCAAAGTGCGGAGGAGCATGTGCAAGAACCCACGCTAGAGGAGATTAAAAGGGCAATAAACCAATTAAAGAATAACAAGGCCCCGGGTGAGGACTCCATTACGGCGGAATGCATAAAATATGGAGGGAAACATCTAGATACTGCCATACTAGAGCTGTTGAAAAACATATGGAAAACAGAAGCCCTACCTACAAGGTTCTGTCAAATGTACTAAGAGGACGCATATCCCCATACGCAGAAGACAACTTAGGGGACTACCAATGCGGGTTTCGACCCAAGAGATCAACAACAGATCAAATATTCACCATAAGACAGCTCCTAGAGAAAAGCTGGGAGTTTAACAGAGAGGTTCACCAACTGTTCGTAGATTTCTGCCAAGCATATGATAGCATCACCAGGGAAAGTATCTGGCAAGCGTTGGAAGGCATAGGGGTACCAAAAAAGGTCATAAGGCTAACCAAGATATGCATAGAAAACTCTAAAGCCAAAGTTAGGATAGGAAAGAACAACACCGAGGCTTTCTCCAGTAACAATGGCCTAAAACAGGGCGATGGACTTTCACCATTGCTTTTCAACATAGTGCTGGACATGGCCATCAAAGAAGCGAATATCGGCTTGGAAATATTTACAAATAAGGGCCCAGAAATGATTTTGGCATTTGCCGATGACATTGATACGGTAGGAAGCAGTACGATTAAAACAAAAGAAATGTTCATGAACATAGAGAAGGAGACCAAGAAGGTAGGACTCATGATCAACGAGGACAAGACCAAATATATGTGGGCCGGACGGAGAGCAGGAAGGGGCAGAATAGGACAGAACATAACCATGGACACCCACAATTTTGAATGCGTAAACCAATTTCAGTACCTAGGAGCAGTTATAACTTCGGATAACGATATCACCAGCGAAATAAAAGCAAGAATACAAAAGGGCAATAAATGTTTTTTCGCCTTGCAGAACCTGTTTAAGTCCCGACTGATATCTAGGAACTCAAAACTACGGATATATTCGGCAGTAATCAAGCCAATCGTAAGGTATGGCTCGGAAACATGGACAATGACAAAGCAGAACGAACTAGTGTTAAGACGCTTTGAACGAAGGATGTTGCGGAAAATCTTTGGACCAACAATAGATGAGAGAACGGGTCAATATCGAATAAGAACGAATGCGGAGCTTAACGACATGTACAAAAGACCGAGTTTAGTAAACGAAATAAAAGCACAAAGGCTCAGGTGGGCTGGACACGTGCAGAGATCGCCGAATGAACGTCTTGTAAAGAGGATATGGGAAGAAAACCCAGCAGGAAAGAGACCCTTAGGAAGACCAAGGCTCAGATGGAGGGACAATATCGAAGAGGATGTAAAAATCTTGGGAGTACGGAACTGGAAGGAGGTTGTGTTGGACAGGGACAGATGGAGACGAGTCGTAGATGCAGCTAAGACCCACGAAGGGTTGTGACGCTACGGAAAAAAAAAACTGCAACCCCAGACGTTGGATCAAACACTTGGCAACCGCGACTACTGGTGCCAGGAAACCCAAAGGATCGTAAATCCGAGCGATCTCAGACCAGACAACTCTCTTTGTATAATCACGGGACAATGGTTTAACGTAGTACGAGACGACGTCTAACACTGGGTTCCATTGCAGTCCCAATACTTTAAGGACTGTGGTATCCTTATCTGAAAAGGAAATACTTTGTTGATGCCTCTCTGGGATGTTCGCAAGAAGCTCTTGGCAGTTGAAGGTTCATTTTCGCAGTTCGAAACCTCCACAATTTAACAACCCAATCAGTTGTCTTTGAAGTTCTAATCCCTGCTCTATGGATAGCGAAAAATCCATCAGGTCATCTACATAGGACGAGTCTAAGATACTGGAAGATGCGAGGGGGTAGTCTTTTCCGTGGTCGTTTACCAATTGGTGCAGTATCCTGATTGCCAAGTAAGGGCTACAGTTTAAACCATATGTCACGGTGCGTAAGTGGTATTCACGGATTGGTTCAAGTGGATTGAATCTCCATAAAATTTTCTGGTATTTGATGTCTTGTTCGTTTACGATAATATTTCGGAACATCTGACGGATTTCAGTACTAAATACTACAGGGAAACATCTAAATGATATTAACACTTTCACGATGTCGTTTTGTAGTTTAGGTCCGACTAATAAAACATCGTTCAAGCTTAAACCATCGGAAGTTTTAGATGAACCGTCAAACACAACTCTAATTTTTGTGGAACCACTGTCGTCTTTCATCGCACAGTGGTGCGGGAAATAATACGATGGGTAATCGCAGGATGAACTGATGGTCATGTGACCCTGGTCGGCATAATCTTGCATGAACTCGTTATACAAGGTACGAAGGCGTGGATTTTTGTTGAGTCTTGCCTCTAACAAATTAAACCTGTGCAATGCCTGGTTTCTAGAATCACCGAGGTTGGGGGAGGTCTCTCGAAACGGGAGCCT